CTATAATCAACCAGGACTCTGAGGTCCTTCTCCTCCTCCGTTACTTCCAACTGATGTGTCCCCAGCTTATAACTAAAATTCTTGTTATTAATCCCTAAATGCATAACCTTACACTTCTCACTATTAAATTTCATCCTATTGCTATCACTCCAATTTACAAGATCATCCAGATCTTCCTGTATGATATCCCGATCCTTTTCTGAATTGGCAATAGCTCCCAACTTTGTGTCATCCGCAAATTTTATTAGGACACTTCCACTTTTGGTGCCAAGATCAGCAATAAAAAGATTAAATAAAATTGGCCCCAAAACTGATCCCTGAGGAACTCCGCTAGTAACCTTCCTCCAACCTGACAGTTCACCTTTCAATATGACCCGCTGTAGTCTCCCCTTTAACCAGTTGCTTATCCACCTCTCAACTTTCATATTAATCCCTATCATTTCCAATTTAACCAATAATTCCCCATGTGGTACTGTATCAAATGCCTTTCTAAAGTCGAGGTAGATTAGATCCACTGCATTTCCTTTATCTAAAAAAATCTGTTACCTTCTCAAAAAAGGAGATCGGGTTGGTTTGGCACCGATCTACCTTTTGTAAAACCATGTTGTAATTTGTCCCAATTGCCTTTAGCCTCAATGTCTCTAACTACTTTCTCCTTCATTGGTGTCTTGGTTTTTGGTAATAGCACAAGATCCAGCACTCATGCGATTTCACGCTGTTTTATACAAATACATCTAGTAGCTGTATTGGAGGGTCTTGTGGTTTCTTGGCATCTCACGCAGGCTGGATTCTCTTCCATCTATATTTAGGACACTTTAGAGCAATTTTTTCACCTCTGGCGTCATGCCTGTAGCTCTTTCACTTGGGCCCTGAATAATGATCCTCTATCATGATATGTCGCTTGAGGTTTAAATGAACCACTTTATCTTGACATGAAAACTTTGAATTGGTTTCTTTGGTTAATTGAATCTTGTTACAATGAGGCTGCATGTGGGTCATCTTCACATTGAGACCCTTACACCTCGAGCCGTTCAGCTTCCTGTATGACTGAGCAGATATGGGGTGTGGGAAGATGTGCAGAAAACCAATTTTGATTTGATCCTCAGTTTTCTTTTCTATTTCTACATAACTAGAATTTTAGCTCCGAAGACTTTTTATCTTTTTCTTTCATCTTCCTCCAGGCGAAAGAGGATGCAGAGATCCAGCGTTCAGAGACTGCAGTGAACAAGATGCCCCGGCAGCGGGGCCGCTGGTCCCAGCCAAGCAGCAACATAGAAATGACAGTTAAATCCATGCTTGACTTGCGCCAGCTGGAGTCTTTCTCAGTCTCTCGATCCCCCAGCCGAGACTCACTGTCCCAGACCAGCAATGGGGATGACAGAGAAGAGCATGCGGATCTCTCTCTGCACATTGGCAAGGTAGCAGTGGCTGTGGATTCAACATATGGCCAATGGGAAACCCAAAGCTTTCCACAAAAGACTTTCTGGAGCTCTTTCACCGCTGCTGGCCAATGGGTGTTGAGCCTAATACAGTATAAAAGCCTGGTTGATTTTCTTGCACTTTATTTCACTTCAGTCTGTTACTGGTAGCTAGGTGGCCTCTGTCTAGAACACATCTCACAGGGGCATTGAGCTGCGGTTTCTCAGTTCCAAGAATGGTTGCATTGCATGCCTTTGAGACCCACAGAGTTCTAGTGCAGCCTATGACTGAGTTTGTTTTTAAAACAGTACTATGGCCTGTGAAGAGTATAGGTCTAGTAAACAATGAATTATCTTGCTCCAGAGACTGCTTGGATCAGGTGTGGGGTAACCTCCAGCATGTTGCCGCCTACAGTTCAAAAGGGTTAGCTGCTGGCGGGCCACAAGATGGTTTGTTTACCTGAGCGCAGGCATGGCCACCCACAGCTTCCAGGGGCTGCAGTTCACTGTTCCCAGCCCGTGTGAGCTGCGGGAAGTGGCTCAGGCCAGGCCACTGATTCCCACAGTTTCCATTGGTCCGGAAAGGCGAACCACAGCCACCAGAAGCTGCGAGCTGCCGCGCCTGCAGAAGCTCAGGTAAACAAACTGTCTGGCGGCCTGCCAGCAGTGAACCCTGACAAACCGCATGTGGCCTGTGGGGCTGGAGGTTTCCCACTTCTGGCTTAGATCAAGAGGGACCATTCTGTGCTGGTACGCAACTTCATTGGAGTTGCGCCTGCTTTATGTTGGTATGAGAGGAGAATCCGGTTCAGGGATAGCTGGTTGACCTAGCCAAATGGGGTGTATATGTTTGTGTGTCAGAGGGGGGATGGGACAGGGTTGATGGAAAAAGAGCTGTTTTCTAATGTCAGATTACCAGTTGTACCCCTTACTGTAGTGGGCACTATAGAATTCCCATGCTTTCCAGCTGACACAAAATACTAGTAACCTCTCCTATTTCCTTTTTTCTGCACTAGGTTGGAGACTCCCTAGCTCCTCAGGAGAGCCGGCCTTGCATCCGACCCCAAATGATTCGGCTTGTGTCCTGTGAAGAGGGTGTTTTTACTCAGGAACTGGAGCCATTTGAGAGTGAGGAATGTGTAATCTACCCTGATCAAGATGAGATCCACCCCACAGACACTAGCAGGTTAAAAAAAACAAACACTCTTTTCTGTGTGTGGCTAAGTCACAGCTGAATCCTTTTACTTGTCTGCAGCTCATGAGGTAACTTGGGTGAGGGGATTAATTGTCAGCTCAATGCTAGACATATTTAGTTAAGGACTTTACTAATGAACTCCTGATTCTAAAGGGAACTGAACCCAAGGTGCAGTAAGACATTCTCTGCTTGTGAACAAGTCATGCATGTCAGCAAACTCCTCCAATTTCTCCTTGAAATAAACAACTTGGAAGAACCTCCCTTTTTCCTTCCTCCCTTATGTGGGCTGATTTTAAGGAATGGAAAATCTCATGCTGGAAATCCTCCTGACAGTGGAGGTGTATTTGGCTGTGGAGTGACCACCCAAGGGCTGTGGTGGAAACCCTATCGTTTGTTCCAGTTTGAAACTAGACTACACAATGCTAATGAACATGCATGTGATGACTGTGCAGGACGCTGGATTGTGTGAGCTAAATGGAATGAGAGACCTTTTGTCTTCCGTTTTCTCTTCTTCCTTTCTAATTTAGACCATTCCACCTTGCTTTTTGTATCCCACCCCCATTCCTCCTATTTCCTTTTCTGAATAACACTCCCTCTCTTTCCACTTATAGCTATTTAATTCCCCTACCTGCATTCCAGTACAAAATAATGATTGTGAGTTTTAGATGAGCTCTCATGGAATAGTGCATGCCAACTTTTATGTAGCTGAAACTTTTAGCTCTCCTCCCCCCATTTCTCTTTATTTATGTTTTTAATTTTCTAGTAATAATATTTAGACAGAGCAAACCCATGTGCAGCCCTAGAAGGGCTGAGTGGTTGTGGCAGTGTTGGATACAGATTGGACATGTTACAAAGTGCACACAGCATGCAAGCTGTCAGGGCTAATCTCAGAACAGTTATGTTAGAGTAAATATCCATCATAGCGACTTTCATGTTCCATGTCAAATCTTAAAGAGCAGAGGCTCCACTTGTTTCTGAATTCAAAGTATCCCATGAAATGCAGCCATGTAATCTTCCCAGATCAGGCCAAAGGTCCCTATTGGCCTTCCTCGTTGTTGTGGAGCTGGCACAAGAGCAAGGATTTGAATCTTCTAATGCTGACTCCCATACAGTATTCACTGATGAAAATCAGTCTTGCTGGCCTCCGAATCTACTTTATTTCACAACACTGGGACCTTCAAGGAAACAAGACACAACAGGACACTGGCTTCACCCCCAATTATGGAAAAACTGACTATAAAATATCTATGAATAGGAATGTAGGAATGCTTTAATGAGGGGAAATACCTCGTTCTCCTTTACTGCTGGACACCCAACCACAACAGCAGAGTTAGTGCTTGAGAGACCGAGTATAGTCAGAGAGTGAAACACACCAGTTTGATTTCCCTGTCCAAGCCAAATGAAATGCAAAAATAAACTCTATAAATGGTAGAAGTAAATGTAACTTAATTTTTTAAAATTACTTTTTTTTTTTTTTTTTATACAAATAATCAAAGGTATTGCTAACACAGGTAAGGACTCTAAAAATTACAATCTCTAACTGGACAGTGAATTTTTTCTAGTTTGTACTCTTCCTGTCTCTCTTGTAGTGAATTCCAGGTAAAAGCACTGCTCCATGGGAAGCTAGGTAGAAGTTACCACATCAACGGATGCCCTGATAAGCACAGCCCTGACAGTGCTTGCTCTGTAGATTATAGTAGCAGTCGCCTCTCCAGCCCAGATCACCCAAATGAAGGTGAGATGTGAATACATGTCATGAGTCCATTTTCACACCACACCGAATGCTGCAGTAACTTACGGGGATCATTTACTGCCAGGCTTAGTGGCAAATTGGACTCAAAGCCGTGATCTGTGGAGAGCTGGGTTGATGCCACTTTCCTGTTAAAGATCACCTGGGTATTACCATAATGCTTTAGGTACTTCTGAATATGCACTTCCCTAAGTGCTTTGTGAAGTGTTAGAGGGTGAAGTTAATTGCTACTCCCTAGTCCTTGTGGGCAGTGTTCCCTGTAAGCTGAGTGCCTGGGTGGACACCCAGTAGAAATTCAAATGCCATTCAGCTGATTAGCAGAGCACCCACAGTTGACAGGATGTGTTTCTACTGGCGGTGCACATGCGCATCTGCCTCTGTGCAAATAACATTTATTCTGCACACAGATGGAGAAACTAAAGGGAACACTGCTTGTGGGTTGTCCTGCCTGTGCAATATTGTACACCTGGGAATTGTATCCTAATGGCAGTAGCACTGATTTGCTGTTGCTCTTTCTTTAGTCCCTAATGTGCCACTTTCCTGAGTAGCTTCTTCTAAAAATGATATTCAGATGTGGCCAGGCTGTAGGCATTTATTGTGACTGTATGTTATTTCCAACACCTTCCCAGATTCTGAGAGCACAGAGCCCCTCAGTGTGGATGGTGCCTCAGACCTGGAGGAACAGGCAGATGGGGAGGATGAGGAGGATGCAGGCACGAGCATGGTGGAGGGGGAGGTCCCCAAGACACCAGATCAGGAGAAGTTCCTCAAGCAGCATTTTGAGACTCTGGCCAACAGCAGTGAAAAAGGTATACCTGCAAATCCTGTGGAAGAACTTTCTCCTTGATGAGATTTGAATAGCTCCAGACTCATCTGCTTTATAAAACCAAGGAGATCCCAAAGGTTCTGTCTTGCTGTGGCTGACACTTTACAACTGCTGGACTTTGCCTGTTGTATGTGGTGGGGAAATGGTAGAGATGAAGCAAAGTAGAAAGAGGTAAAGAAAAGCGTGTCTTTTAACTCCCATAATGTGGAGACGAGAATGTGTATAAAGGATTGTGGCTACATAAAGGAGCCTTTGTTTCTTGGATTTACTTCAGTATTTCTCAGCCTGCGGGTTTTGGGGCTCAGGCTGTCAGCCCAAGCTGGCAAAGTTGGGGCTCAGCAGTTTTAGCCCCCTAACTTTTCACGTCTTTGTAGGGGTGGGGATTACAATTTTTAAGTCCAAATTTGCCAGCACAAAAAGGCTGAGAAATATTGGGTTAATGGAAGTGTTCTTGTTGACCTGATGAAGTGCTGTCTTTGGGATCTGTTTGACCCATGCTGTTATCCCATCTGTAGCTTAGCCATGTAAATGATTAAAGGTAAGTGTGTCTATCTTTACAGTAAGATGGGGTGGCCTCTAGTGGTGCGTATTTGCATAGCAAACATCATCAAAGAGATGAGAAGTGGAACAGTGGGAGAGAATGAGAGCATCATATTGGAAAAAAGAGGTGTTTAGATTGCGTCAGTCTGTTCTGGGATCAGAGTGCCCTGCTAATGATGATCACAATTGTAGCTAGCATTGTCTCTGCATGCTGTCTTTCTCCCACAATCGAAGAGTGAGGAAAATAATCTTTGGGGAAAGGAATTAGGGAAACCCTTATTTTTGAAATACAGTTTGAGGCTGGGGAATTGTGATGTTCTGATTAAAATAGAAAAGGGCATCAGGAGATAAAATTATTTCTCTGTATTTTATCATTTCAAGCAGTTCTTGCATCTCCTCTGAAATGGAGGAGCATCTGCTAGAATACATCTGAAGAAACCTCATTTGTCCCAATGGTTGCTTCTTGTTGTATAACTTGTACATTTCCATCTGAATTCATAGGTGGATCATGTAGGACTCTGGAGAAAACCGAAAATATCAGCATTTCTTCTCGCTTTCTTTCCCAGTCCCCGTCTCTCAGGTATATCTCTGCTTTTTTTAGTAGTATGAACAGATTTCTTCCTGGGCACAGGGGTAAAGCATGCCAGCAGCCTTCTGGATATGACACACATTGGCACAATGGGCTATTCAGATGGAGACCTGGCAGGCTGGCTGCAAAATGTCACCAATCAGATTGTCCATTCTGCATCTTCCTACCTGCTGTACATTAGCCTAAAGTGACAATGCTTCTTATCTAATTTGCTTTTTACCATTTATGCTCTGTTTTATTTTTTGCATTTCATTCAGCTTGGACAATGAAAAATTTTGCTTTGGTTCACCGTCAGTTCCTAATCATTTCTGGTTTCCATTCAGTATCAAGGTTATAAACACTGCAGGGAAATTTATTTCCCCTAAAATTAACCGTTTCCATTGAAATTAAAATGAAACAAACCACAAAAGAAACAGTTCAACTGATTGGTTTTATGGACTTTTTTTTTTTTTAACAAACAGCATCTACTTTGAGTTCAAATTGACTTGTCAGCATCATTTTAAACTGAGCTGGATTCACCTTTAGCATTCAGAGATTGGCCACCTTATGGATTTTAGAGAAACCTCCTGGCATTGTTCAAGTGGCAGTGCTGGTTCCCCAATAGAGGTACTGTAGACTACATGCTACCATTTTTGCAACTGTGTCGAGACTCATGTACCTCTGCTCATCAAGGGTTAGTAACCATCTCCTGGCATTTTTCCACCATGGTTATGCTAGAGCTTCCAGTGTTACTAGCTTTAGGAGAACTGTAGTGGTGCCATAGCAGACTGAGTAGGGTAAGTTGCATACACTTGTGAATATATTATGGGGTTATCAGCCCAATTACCAATCCAGCCAGGTGGAGCTAGCTTTGATGTGTGTTCTACCACGATTGATCAATCTCCAGATGTGCTGGGGGATCCTCCATGGAGCACTCTAGTGGAAGGAGAGAGGGTTTTTGGTGTTGGCAGAGTGAGCTGGGAGGGACCACTCCTGACCCAGCCCGACCCATTCCTACCCTGGCAGAATCTCTCTCCTGGCTTCCCTTCCTGCAAAGTCCCTCCATGCAACACATGAGCCAGGGTCATTGGTGGCACTTAGTGCTCATCCTATGAGCCACGATAGGATGCTTTGAGACCAGCGCTGCCTTGGGCTAAAGTGGTGACACTACAGATTGGTTTGACATGTTACTCTCCATTTGCCAGGAACGTTGCCCTGAGAAGCTGGCTTTTAATAAATTTGTACTTCTTTTTCCAACTCTGTCTATTTATTTATTTGTGATTCATTAACTGTAGCCTTGAGAGTCCTGTTTCTGTTTTATTTCTGTAGGCGTTTGTCACGCTCCTTATCAAATCCGATACTGGATCAAAAATCTATTGGAGCTTCAGCCCAGTCAAAGCAGGTTTCTCCTGATCTGCTGAAAAATGGGAACAGCCTTGAGAGTCCTGTTTCTGCTTTATTTCTGTAGGCGTTTGTCACGCTCCTTATCAAATCCGATACTGGATCAAAAATCTATTGGAGCTTCAGCCCAGTCAAAGCAGGTTTCTCCTGATCTGCTGAAAAATGGGAACAGCCATTGTAATGCTACCTTGGAGAATGACAACCTTCTGGATGGTGTAAATTCCTACCGGTGCATTTACACCCAAAGAAAACGGAAGTCGGCAGTAGAGACCAATAGGCTAACTGTGGGACCTGGAAGAGTTATTGAACCCTTTCCAGAGGCTACGGGGAATGCTGGGATGAGGAAGTGCCAGTCAGTTCATGACCTCCTTCACGATGGTAAGGAAACAGATGGGTGTGCCGTGTAACTACGGGTATGTCTATACTACAGCACTAATTCAAACTAACTTAGTTCGAATTAGCGCATCTAGACTTAAAAACTAGTTCGAATTAGCGTTTTGCTAATTCGAACTAGCGTGTCCACACTGAGTGGACCCTGAACCGAGGTTAAGGCTGGCCGGAAGCAGTGCCGGCAGGGCATCAGGTTAGGACTTAGAGCGTGGAGCTGCTGTCTCAGGCTAGCCGAGGGCTGTGCTTAAAGGGACCCGACCCCCACCCCGGACAGACAGTTCTCAGGGGTTCCCCGCTCGCTTGTCTAACTCGATGAGGGACAGCAAAGCAGTCCTGGCTTGGAGTGCCCTGAATGCCCACACTTGGCACCACTCGGCCATCAGCCCGGCTGCACTTGCCGCAGGCTGCCATCCAGGAGGGTCAATCGGGGGGCTGCAGGAAAGCTTCCACCCCGAGGAGCCCACAGAGCCACCCCAGTACTCCCCATCGGGGGCTCGTACCCCATTCCTCCCTCACCTCCTTC